GTTGTCAGTAATTTCCACGCTTTTGGGAAAACAGTGGTGTTAGAAAACAAGCAGCATCAGAAGTGCTCACCTTTCAACGTGGTGATAACAAAACAAGATTCATCTTGGAAGTTTTGTACCATCTGTAAAAAAAAAAAAAAAGTCTTGGTTTACATCAAACATGTTGAATGCAAGTTTCATTCAATGCCCATTATTTAATGCAAAGGGAAACAGGAATTCAACAGACCTCTAATTCTACAAGGCAATGAGCATTCATGCTTCAATCCATAAAAGTATTTAAAGCGTGCAAGTAATCCATTAGTGTCAAAGGGATTGCTTGTGTTTATAAGCAAGCCCATGCTCAAGTGTTTTGCTGGATCATATCTGGCATATTCAAAGCATCCTACCTGGTCACCCTTGTCCATCCCCACTTTAAGGGCTGGATCCTCACACAAAAATTGGCCTAGTTCCCCATGGCTTCAATAGAATTAGACTAGCTTCCCCTAGCCTTAAATATGGTCTCATGCAGAATGATGCACTGCTGTTTTCTCCAGTCTAGTTTTGGAATATCCCAAGCAACAGGGCACCCATCATTGCCTTTGGGAGATTGTCCAACTCCAACGGGGTTTGATCCTACCCTAAACTAGTCAGTGGCAAAGACACCTACTGAATTCAGTATGGACCCATTCAAACTACACTTCCAATAGGAAGGAAGTGAAAAGAGCATTCAATCCTTCAGAGCTGTGTGCCAGTGTAGCCTGATGGACGTCAGGGAAGTTCTGCCACTCTAGACTGTTAAAGGACATGGTCTTTTAAACCTAACAATAGATTCACTAATGAAAATGTCTTCTAGCATGAGCATGTGGCATTGTTTAACAAAGATCACTGGAATAATCATGCTTATGGCTGTGGGAAGGCTTCTGAGGGCCTTGTTGCGTGGTAATTTTAGGCAGCTTCTGGAGCTCTTCACCCCTGGACTGGCTGCATACTAACACCTTTTAAGTGGCTTAAAGCACTCATTATTCATCCTAAAGTTATGCCCCTCCAGGGAAAGATTCTCTCTAATCTGCCTAATTTTCCTCCTGTTTCATTAAGATGTGGCCACTCTCCACAGCTGTTCCACCCAATTTGAAGACTCCAGCATCCCAGGATGCAGCGGCTCCTCCTGAGTCAGGGTGAACAGGGATGCAGCAGGGTGCAGCAGGGCTGGGCATGGTGCCTCGCTGATCGGGGACATCGGGCAGAGCCAGTGCTGCAGCCCTCGAGTGCCTGGCAGCTGTGGTGCTTCCCGCCACTGCTCGGACCGGCTCGCTTTGCCCAGTGGGAGCAGCAATGCAGTTCTGCCCCCAGTTCCTAGTCCTGCCCTTCCTCACCAAGCCTGTAGTGGCAAGTCTCAGATATGCAGGTGAAGGACAGCCAGAGATGGTTTTTCACCTTAAGGTGCAATTGCTCCACTAAGCGGATCAACATTAATCTGATTAACTTTTATGCGGCTTACAGCGTAGGGTATAACAAGGCCCTGAAGCTATAAGGAATACATTATATTTTCTTATGCCATATGCACCTTTTGCCCCTAAAAAACAGTCCTCCAGAATCAGGGTGCATCTTAAGCAAGGAAGCTGAATTTTCTTTGCTGGAATATTATTATTCAGAGGCTACATAGTAGTGCAAATGCTGCACCGATAACACCGTGCTTTGCCTAGATGCCAAGACACAGAAACTTATAGGAATGGCAAAAGTAAAGACGGTTGTGGGGAAGGTCAGGAGCCAATCCAATTGGCATAACTGACTAAATGAGAAGCAACCAGATATTCAAGACAAGTTAGACCCATAAACAAGGCCCTAGGTTGGCCAACAAGACACTGGGCATAAAGTTCTGAGAAACATGGCTGGATGTGTCATAACACGAGCAAATCCTTCTTAACGTCCATCCCCGCTGGCTGTACCGAGCACCTGTCCCTAGCTTTTCAGCTTCAACCCCAGTCAACAATAATTCCACTTCCCTTCTCAAACTATACTCCCTTTCCACTGCCAATTCACCTCAGACTAAGGTAATCCCCCTATTTGCTTTCACCCCCTTTGAATTGCTCCCACCACAAATTGGTCACAACGTGGGTTCACCTAATGAAGCATGAAGTGCATTCATACTGTGCCTCTCATTTAAATAGCTTTTCCCCCACTCAGCTATAGCCAGAGCACAGGAGATGAAAAATAAAGCAATAGACATGGTTAATAAGTAACTAAACCTTTTCATTAAGACCCCCTTTCACTAGAGCTAGTGGAGGCAATTCCCCCACTACAGGTTGCCTCAAAGCACTTCGTGACTTTTAAACTTCGAAGGTTGCAGATTTAAATCAGGGTGAAGCAGCAAGGAGACTTTTAAAATAAACATTAGAGGCTTAAATTTAGGCTTCATTTGAGTCCTGCTCTCTGCTTCATTTGCTTTAACTGTGTTCCTTTCTAGTCTAGTATCAGGCTATCTAAATGAAGCTCCTTAAGTAATTCTGGGGCATGAAGGAGTGGGTCATTTAGAAAAAAAAAGGCAATTAGGTCATTCCCAATTAACATGAAAATTAACTTGGTCCATTGTGTTAAGCCATTGTACAAGGGGACACAACTGGCCAGAAGTCAATGAAATTGAGTGAAAATCATGACAAAGTATATGCAAAGACCATTCTGTTGGCCCAGACTTAATGGAGATGGACTGATTTGGGATGCCTCTACTTTTGGGACACAATAGGGCCCTATTTTCAGACCAATGTTCTGAAGATTAGATCCCTTTAAAGTGCTTCAAGTTGGCTGGGCAGCCAATCAAATGAAGAAAACTTAGGTTTTAGATGTGCTAATAGTTGGAAAATTGAAATACATTTTAGGTTAAAAAAAACAAAACAAAAGCGCGCACAACTTCCTTTAATAAGAAAAATATATATATGAAGTAATTAATGGATTTAAGACCCAAAAAAATCTGGGATAAGTGTAAAAGAGCCAGGCACTTTTTCAGCGTTACTGGCCATGAAAAGAAAAAAAAAAAAGTTTCCTTGAAGGCTCATTCCACAATTTTAAAGGCCAGTCTAACTTAAAGAAAAAGGTCAGGCAATGGGTCTTGAACTCATACTTTAAATACCAAGCATCAGATGATGAGTTTTGCTTTAGCTTCTTACCTCATTGCTCACTAACACATGGATCCCTGTTGGTCCCTGCCGATAGATCCGGTTGATCTGCTGTGTAGAAATGCTGTACAGGTTTGCAATCTTCTCCATTAACTCCAGGGTTGTCAACTCTTCTAAGAAGATTGCATGATACACTGAAATAATTTAAAGACACCAGCTTTTAGCCATACGACTCAGAAACTAAATCCACTCCTGGAGAAAAATTAAGGGCCAGGTCCGGAACTAGTTTAAGTCAGTCTGGGCATGTCTACACATTCAATTAAAGTGCTTTAGGTAATGTGCATTAAATCTAGTACCTCCATTGTGAGGTGCTGGAAAAGTGCATATTAGCCTGTTTTAATGTGCATTAGCTAAAGAGCACATTCTTTGTGATGCTTTAACACATGTTAAAATAGGCTAAGATGCATTAATGCACACATGTAGATGTGATCTGTATCACCTTTGTGCTGCGACCGATTAGATCAACTGGAGGACCTAAACCAAAATGCCCAATGTTTGAATGTAGACATTAGCCAAAAGCTGAATCGACTTTGCCAAGAAAGAAAAAAAATCCCTTGAGGACCTTTAACAAAACCAAAAGGTTACATGACATGACAAAGCCACCTTAGTAAGAAGCAAGTTAAAACTCTGGGGCACGTGATAAAATCTTGTGACTGCTGACTCCATTCCGGCACTCTTGACTGCCTCTAAAAAGGTTGGTGCTACAGGAAAATAAATGAATTTCTATATTAAGAAAAGCTACCCAATAGCACTTTATAGGCCATTTCAGTCCTAGATCACAAAACACGTGCAAATATAATGCCATTATCCCTTTTTTCCAAGTGAGGCCCGAGGTAGTATGGCATTTGCCCAAGGTCATGCATTCAATTGGTGATGCAGCCACAACTAGGCACGGAGAGACGTGGACTCTAGTCCTGTACCCTGTCCTCTACATTGTACCACCGTCAGGCATTTCTATGCATGCTCCATTCTCAGGTCACGTTTGTTTCCTTCAGTTTGAACTAAAATGAGAATTGCCTGAGGTACAATGACCACCATTAAACCATCAATGTCTATTAAGTGGTGTTATACAAGATAAGCATGTTACTTTGTTTTAAGCATAGGCAACAGATTCAGTATCCCAGATGTAATCAGCGGTAACTTGAAAAGGCAGACTTTAAAATTGGATCCACTGTATCACATCGTTATGCATTTATAGGAAAGCCAATACTCCATTTGCAAAGCCTTTTAAAGCATTTCCAGTATCAGTCCTTCACGTATGTGGAGAAGCACGTGTACAAAGATAACTGCAACCAGCCAAACGTCATAAGCTTTGAAATGTGTGCTTATGAAAGCTGCCATTTTTTCATCTTCCATAACGTGACATGGTTTAGTTTTTCATTCAGAATTAATCTAGTGAGTTGTCTACACTGCTGCACAGTGGGTGCGTCTACACACGTGCATTTACTGCACAGTAACTAAAATGACTACGCAGTACAGGTGCGCATGTCTACACATGAATGCCCATACTGCACGGTAAATATGATGACTTATGTTGATTTGAGTGTAAATCTGATACCTTCATGTTGCAGGTATCAAATTTATGCCTAGTTAGTTACTGCGCAGTAACACACATGTAGAGGCCTTACTGCACAGTAACACTGTGTGTGCGTGGACTGACTTGGGGCTAACTTTAGTTCTAAGTCAGTCCACATACTGCGTTAATGCGCTTTAATGCCAGCACATAAAGACACCAACCTATTCCCACTTACTCCACAGTAAATTTAAGCTAGTGTAAATACATGTGTAAACATGCCCGGTGTGTTTGATTTCTCAGTGAAAAAAACCCAGCAAAATAAAAAGATAGCTCCCCAATCCAATATCTGGTTCCAGGTTCTGTATTAGAGTTTGAAAACTCTATTGCTTGAAAACTCTTAACACTTAAATGCATGAGATCTACTCTTGGAGGCATCTCAAATGGCTTCAGACATTTTAACTTGCTATGTTCAATCTATGAAATCCAGGAGACTGGACAAGCATTTGGCTGGAGCCGTCTGACCCCAGCGCTCTTTCCTCCCCGGGCAGGGGGTCGGACTCGGCAACCTACTGAGGTCCCTTCCGACCCTAGCGTCTCTGAATCCATGACCCCTGGTATCAGGCTCTTGAAGATTTGTGGGCTGTGTGTTATAATCAAGACACTTTAAACCTCCACCTGGTTCTTTCATGTGCGTTGTCACTTAGAGCAAGCTAATGAGGATGGACTGTTATGCGTCTCAACTTCACTTGTGCAGACAAATGATTTGTAGTCCTAGATTTGATGTGCCTCTGCTAGAAGGACAAGTCTTACACCGAAATCCTACACAGACCCCCAGATGAATTTTAAAATGCAGCTTCCTCAGAGGAGTGATGAAGACTATTGATCTTACTAGCTTTTTGATCTATGGTTCTAGGGAGTTCAGGTATTTCAGATCTCATGCTTGTACTGCACAGTAAACCGGGAAAACCAGCAAAAAGCAGCAGCATTTGTGACCAAAAAAGGATGAAATAACATTGAAAAAAAAAAAATCACTCCACTCCAGTGAAGGTGGAGAGCTAAATTCACTCTCGGTTTAGGTCAGCACCTAACGATAAAAAGAATGGAGCTAGCACTAGTTTAAAAGGGCCCGCAATCTCCTTGCCATCCAAGGGTTTTGCAGAAGTTTCAGTAGCTCTCCTAGCAAGTACGAAGCTGACTGGGAAGAAAACCCTGCAAGAATCATTGGGCAGAGAGAAGTTATATATGCTTCAAATCCCATCCCTATTGTGGCAGTCCCTAGGCACGGCTCCTACGGCAGCCGAAGGGTGGCACAGTGCTGATACCACTGCCTACCCCGATTCCACTTCAAAAAGTGAGTTGCCTCCCAGGCAGGCAGCATGCAGTGTGGGCTTCCCTTGCAGGAGCCCAAGAGCCAAGTAGAACTGGGATGAATTGGGCCCATTATTTACAGGGAGCTGGGAAACAAGGCACAGTTCTCATCAGATGAACAGGTGCGCCAACCCAGGTGTGCCAACTTACCGCACAGATTACTGTCCCCATTCTCCCGTTTGTGATGAGACCTGTTCTGCTCCGGTTCCTGACAGACATAAATTGTCATCTTAGGCCTTACATTCCTGTAGGCAAAAAAATATATATAGTGATAAGTCTTCATTACAAGTACTGTGGTGTTGCTCTGAGCAGGTCCTCACCACACTGAGAAGAGACACTCAGATGGCTCCTGGGACCGGTTTGGGTATTGCAGAAACAAGCAGCTCTGGGGAATCTTAACGCTACACTGCAGGGGACCTGATACCCCAGAGTTGGGGGAAAGCCTGAGACTGCAAGGTGCTAAGAGGATGCTAAACATCCCCAGCTCCTATGATGCATCTAAGAGTTGACAGTGCCTGGTGGCTTGTAGGAGGTTTGCTCTACCTTAGAAAAATGAGGCCTGCATTTACTGGCTTCAACCCAGCCCAGCTAAGTAATGTGTCACTGTTCCTGACAAAGTTTTGGGGGAAAAATTGTGAGCTTGGTCCTTTTAACTCATTCCCTGTCTTAGCAGAAAGCTTGGGCAAAACATAGGTGCAACGTGGCAGGTGGAGTAGTGTCTTCCCAGAACTGTACTGGGGTCACTGATTCCAAATAGACTCCCGAAGAGTCATATTAGATTCATTTTTTACTTTTAACTGACATGAGCTGGGCAGTATTCAGACTGAAGCTTAGACCATACAAACCATTAGGAACCGGCTTCTGAGACGACCTGCTTTGAGCCAGTCCCTTTGAGTTCAGTGAGCTCTGGACGAGCTAAAGGATGCTGCAGTAGTCCTATATGGAAGTACGCACCTTCCTTTGATTGCATTAAAAAGCCGAATTCCATCAGCAGGGCCACAGATCTGAACAAAGTCTTCTTTGGACATCTTTAGTAAGTCAGCACCTGCATGTGGCAAGGGGAGGATTCAGACATTAACCTAAAAGCTTCCATCTACAGAGTCGAACAAAGGAGTATTTAAAGAAATGTCATGTTGAATGTCCCTTCCCTTGAACGGCATGGGGGAAACGAGTTACAGCAAGCAAAATGGGAAGCAAGGGACTCGCTGGACATCACTGTCCACATGCTTCCCATGAGAAGAGGGAAAGCTGAGCCGTGACAGTGTACCCCTCAATGGAAGAGGATAAATTGCCATGGAATAGCTTTCCCTTACCGTGAGGGAAAAAGCAGGTACATTGATTGTTATCACGGATCCGCTGACTGGCTGTAACTGTTCATACCTTAGAAGTATTCGGTTCCTCCAAGGCCAACTTTGATGGAAATAACAACTTTTCAGGTTCTAGGTCAGAAGCTAGAATTTCAGCGACCAAGATTTTCCAAATTAAGCTGCCTGAAGTCCGATTCTCGGATCCATATTTCGGCGTAAATAAGCAGCCCAATTGCCAGAAGTACCAAGTATTCAGCTAATCCCACCACTAAAACTAACCTCACCCCTTCCGTTCTCCAAGCCTTAGTTCCTCTTTCTAAAGATTCCTCCGGTCTCATGCTCACAATTCGCTTTGGCGAATGCCGGCAAGATGGAAAGCATGAGCCACACTTATAAAATGAAACAAAACCCAAAAAACCATGATCATATGGAGCCTTTAAAAACTTACCCGAAAAGCTGGAGAAGAGTCTACAGAATGGAGAGAACCTATTACGATGAAGCCACTGCTGGGCATCTTGAATAGAAGCAGAGGGAAGGAGATGCTACATTGCAAAAAGAATAAGAGGGTCTTGAAATGAACTGTTCACCAGTGTCCTAAAAAAAGAAAAGCACCACATTAACATGATCTCAAATACTTACGTCATTGCTGGGAGGCAGGAACTCCACTTGGTGGGTTGGAGAACTGTTGCTAAACGTTGTATAAAAGTTGGGAGAGAAAAAATATAATTTTAAATTTTACATTGAAAAATTAAAAAAAAAAAAAAAAGTGCTGGTCGTCTTCCCCCACTCTCCCTTGTCTTGCCCCGTAGTTTCTTATCCACTTGGCATCTCTTCTCCAGATAGAAAGAGGATACAGTTAACTTGAGACCAATTCTGTAGCAAATTGCCACTAGCTTTGCCTTTCATATGCATTTGAAAATCAGCAAGAAAAGCAAGCAGATGTCTAACCCACCCAATCCAGTCATCTTTAGAGGGAAGAAATGGGCATATCAGATCCAATAATTCTGCTCCTATGAAATTAAATTCCCAACAGCCTGGCAAAAATCTGATGATTTTGATTTTAGCATGACGGGTGTGGAATAAACCCGAATGTTAACCCTGATCACATCTCCCTTTTCGGACACAAGGTTTCTCTTGGCTTTGGCAGGGCTGGCAACAGATGCCCCACCATTTTTCTGCACCAAACTGATTTGATATCACAAAACACTGAAGTGCACTTCTGCAACTTTCTGCAGGCTCCAGGTTCAAGCTGGTCCATCGGAGCAAGTCACTATTGTAAAGCCATTCACTAAGAGAGAATGATTTGCCATTGTGGGCCAGGGGCAAACATTTAACAAACTTCAATGACCGGTTGTGGGAATTTGCTTGAGCAAAAACAGAGCAATGATCTGATCTGATCTGATCTGATGTTAGTATTTTAAAGGAGGACGAATAGTGTTTGAACAGTGTTAGTACAGACTGGTTTCCAAACATGCTTTATCCTCCAGTGTGGACAGTGCTTTAAAACAAACCAAGATTGGCCCACAGAGCTAACCATTTATCTCTGAATGAAAAAGAAGTTCTCAGAAGAGATATCCAAATCTCCCTTCTTATCTACACCAGGAGCTTAAGTTATTTGGGGAAATGCTAATATAATGCTCACTTCCATCCCATGAACTTTAGCTTTATCTAGTTCTACTAGATATGTATTATCCAGCCCTATGGCCCAATCCTAACCTCCCTGCAGGAAAGAGCAGAGCTTTCATTGACTTCTTATGGGGGGAAAAAAAACTCCATGGATAATCCAGTAAACTGCCTGGTTTATTTAAAAGGCAGGTTCCAGAAACTCAGATGCGTAGGAGGTTTTTCACCATGAGAGTTGCTCAACACTTGGGTACCAAACTGCAATGGTAGTGACATGATGTGGGGGGAGAAAGAGAGAGAAGTACTGAAGGATACTGACCCACGAAACGCACAACCTTGAGAGTTAGGCATATGGCCGTCTGAGCCACGTCTATAGGATGGTTTAGCAGCTATACTCCCACCGTCGCCTCCGCTTCAGGGCAGTTCGTTAGAATCCTCGTGGTGTTTTTATTCGAGATTCCACTACCTTCAAACCTACTCAACTGGCACCGCCGCCCAAGTGGTTTGGGAGCCAGAAGGTGATGTAAAGCCACTCAAGAGGTCCTCAGTGCCTTTAGCTCCCATCAGGAAACGTTCAGCCCTTGAAGTCATAGTATATGATCTCCTATCCATTACTTCTATGGCATGTAGCACTTCCTATCCAGAGTATATGGCCTCCTAGCCATTACTTATATAGTATGTAGCACTTCCTATCCATTACTTATATGGCATGCAGCACTTCCTATCCATAGCATACGAGTTCCTATCCATTACTTATATATAGTATATCAGCACTTCCTATCCATAGTACATGACTTCCTATCCATTACTTCCAGCACTTCCCAGTCATTACCATCAGTCAAGAAGTTCACAGGGGCTGTAAAAAGGGGGGGATGCACAAGCACCTAACATAAGAAGAGGTCCCATGCTGCTCCCATTATATTCCCAAGCTGAAGGGAGATGTAAATATTCTGCTCTATGAGAGCTTCTGGGTTGAAATGAAAGGCAGCTCACAGGCAGGGCAGCTAAGGCTTAAAACTACTATCTACTGGTCAGCTAGCAAGGAAGTGGGAAACAGGCTCCTTGTGACAAATGGACTTCAGTTGGGCTAAGTGCCTAGCTCCAGTGCAAGAGCCACACGACCCATTAGGAGAAAGGAAGGGTGCAAACACACACAAACACACGTGTGTGCGCACCCATACAGGCTTTGTGTCAACTGAGAAGATAAAGAAGGCATTTGTTACGTACCCATCTCCAAGGCTGAAGCTGTTTGGAGAACTGTTGTAACTCGGAGATGGAGCGTTGTTCATTTGATAAGGCACGTCTGGCCATGGAGAGCACTGTTTGAACAAAGCCAATGGGGACACTGAGCACAGAGCACTGCCAAGGGATTCTCCTTTTACACCAATGATATGCTATTGCCACTCTATCCACCCCTGCCGAGGAGAAGGATGTGGCCCCAGTGCTTGACAAATTCCTTCCCATTATGCATTTCCCCTCCCTCCCACCTCCCTTCCCACAAAGCCTGTCTTGGCTTAACACCCAGCCAAACGGGGCTCTCCCAAGTCAATTCAGATCGAAGGCTGAATCTGACTACCGATACAGAAATAACTCAGCTGGGAGACTCGAGTTTCAATTATAAATCCTCAAACTACAGCAACAAAGGGACCAGAAGCACTTTGCATTATTTGGCCCGATGCATTCAAAACGCAGGCTTGCACTATCAGCAGAGGAAGTCAAGTTATAAAAGGAGGTTCTAACAAGAAAATCCCAGCTGGACACAAGCACAACTGCTGAAGACCTTTGCAAACACGCGTGGGAACTACAGTTAGTTCCCCTGGACTGACACCGGCACAACTCCACTGAAGGCAGTTGCTCCGTTCTGGATTTACACCACTGTAATCAGTAGCAGAATCTGGCCCTGTTTGATGTCCACTGTGGAATATCCCTGTTTGCAATGATAAAGAGGAGACTTTTTTTTTTTTGCGGCATTC